CATCTCAATGTCAAGAAAACAAAAATCCTCACCACTGGACCAATCAACAACATTCTTATCAGTGGAGAAAAGATTGAAGTTGTCAAGGACTTCATTCTTCTTAGATCAATGATCAACACTCATGGAATCAGCAGTCAAGAAATCAAATGATGTATTGCATTAGGCAAATCTGCTGCACAAGACGTCTTTAAAGTGTTGAAGAACAAAGATGTCAGCTCGAAGACTAAGGTGCACCTGACCGAAGCCATGGTATTTTCAATAACCTCATAGGCATGAGAAAGCTAGACAGTGAATAAGAAAGACCGTAGAAGAATTGACACTTTTGAGTTATGGTGTTGAAAGAGAATATTGAAAGTGCCATGGGCTGCTAAAAGAACAAACAGATTAGTGTTGGAAGATGTACAGCCCGAGTGTTCCTTGGAGGCCAGGATGGCCAAGCTTCATTTCATACATACTTCCCAACCTATTGTCAGGTGGGACTAGTCTCTGGGGAAGGATATTATGTTTGGTAAGGTGGAGGGTCAGAGAAAAAGAGGAAGACTCCCAGCGAGATGGATTGGCAAAGTGGCAGAATCAGTGGGGTCAAGCATGGCAACAATAGTGGGGTTGGCCCAGGACCGGGCAGTGTTTCGTTCTGTTGTGCATAGACTTAGTATTAGTCGGTACGAACTCGATGGGACCTAACAACAATAACAATGGAGTCAATCCTGACAGGTGACCCTGTGTGTGTAGAGTAGAGCTGCGTGCCACAGTTTTCAATGGTTCATTTTTTGGAAGTAGATTACCAGTCTTTTAAGTCTCATCTGGGTGGACTTTAACCTCCAATCTTTTGGTTAGCAGTCAAGCACATTAATTATTAGCACCACCTAGGGACCATTTACTATTTATTGTCCTCTATATGGATTTTAAGGAGCTCTGGTAGTGTAGTGGTTACAAATCGGGCTGCAAACCGCCAGGTCAGCAGTTTGAAACTACCAGCTGTTTCTGCTCCTGTAAAGATTTACAGCCTTGGAAACCCTGTACAGGGTCGCAATGAGTTGAAACTGATTCCACGACACACAGCAACAACAACAACAACAACATATGGATTTTAGAGTCCTGCTGTGGCGCTGTGGGATAATCCACTGGACCACAGGTTAGTTTGAACGGCAAGATCGGTAGTTCAAATTCACCTGCTGCTTCTCGGAAACCCTGTATCAGGGTTACTGTGCATTGGAACCAATTCCATGGCAGTTAACAACAACAACATTGGTTCTAACCCCCCACTGCTCATGAAAGATCTTCATTAAAATTCACTCTTGACCTTCATGTTGATAAATCTAACAGATGTTTTTGTTTAGTAGTCAACTTCATTGATGTCTGGGTTGCATTCAATATAACTGAACACTCACTCAGTCCTTTGAAAATGGTAGTTTCCCCTATGTTTTGGGTCTAGCCTCTCCGATTGACCCTCAGGCTTATGATCACAGTCACTTCTACTCACGTTCTCTATGGGTGGTGAAGTGGATCCATTTGGAAGCCAAGCGGCCTACCTCGTTGTGCACCACCCTCAGCCTGTAGTCTTGTGTAAGGCTGGAGACCCCCAAGGCTGGCTTGCTGCCCCAGCCCCTTGTACTTTGTCTCTGTTTGGCTGGGAGTACAGGGCAGGGCTGCGTTGGGAGGGCACACCACATAGAATTGGAGTTCACATCTAGAATGAGAACAAGCATGTAAAGAGAAGACAGTGGAATCAGTTAAACTTTCTCTTGTAAAACTGGTTATAGTTTGTGTTTGTGTTTTCACTGAATGAGAAGTTCTCAGACAATTCCATTTGTGAGAAACTGCTGTCAATGCTGTTGGAAATGAGCAACAGATATTACCAGCAAAAGGCTAGGAGAAGCCACCCTGTGTTCACATGTGGCTGTCCATTCAGTCACTAGCAATTCTTGTTGGTAGAGATATATTTTTCTTTTAAGAGGAAAGTAATATAATTGTTCTCTTGTGTTTGGTAGTGGTGGCTGTGTGCTATGGAGTCAGTTCTGACTCATAGCAACCCTGTACAGGGTTTCTGAGGCTGTAAATCTTTACAGGAGCAGAAAGCCTCATCTTTCTCCTGCTGAACAGCTGGTAGTTTCGAACTGCTGACCTTGTGGTTCACAGCCCAATTTGTAACCACTATGCTATGGGTCGGAACCGACTCAAGGCACTTAACAACAACAACATGCTTCCTTTAGAATAAAGAAATTATGTCTTTGCCCTTTAATGAAGACATTTTAAATTATTTCAAGGAAATTCTGACTTAAACAAACAAAAAACAAAGCCAATAGCCAAGTTGATTCTGCCTCATGGCAACCTATGTGTTTTAAAGTAGAACTGTACTCCATAGGGTTTCCACGGTTATGAAATTTCAGGAACAGATCACCACAGCTTTGTCTTCTGATATGCCTATGGGTGGACTCAAACCACTGGCCTTTCATTTATAGCCTACAAATGAACCAATTGCACCACTCAAGGAAATCTGACTTAACAAAAAAATTTCCTAGTTTTCAGCTAAAGCCTGAATGGAATCCAGGGAATCATAAGGAGGAGAAATATTCTTTCAAACAATACAAACACTTTCTATCTCTTACTTAAAGATGAATTTTGTTAACTGCTCTTCAAGGGACCACATTAGAAGGTCCTGGATAGAGTGTGAGAAAATGTGGAACAAAACTCAATATTATAAAAAGACTGGGTTTACTGGTCAGAAACACACTGGAGAAACCTGAGACTATGACCCTTGGCCATCCTTCAGATCTGGAACAGAATTTACCCTTCTGGCCCAATTTTCCACCAAGTTATAAGTAGGTAGGTATATAGTGGTGGTGGTGGTTATGTGCCGTAGAGTCGGTTTCGACTCATAGCCGCCCTGTAAAGGGTTTCTGAGGCTGAAAATCTTTACGGGAGCAGAAAGCCTCATCTTTCTTCCATGGAACAGCTGGTAGTTTCAAACTGCTGACCTTGAAGTTAGCAGCCCTACTCATAACTACTATGCTACCAGAGTTCCTTAGGTAGATATATATTGTTGTTGTTGTTGTTGTTGTGTGCCGTGGAGTCAGTTCTGACTCATAGCGACCCTGTACAGGGTTTCCGAGCCTGTAAGTCTTTACAGGAGCAGAAGCCTCCTCTTTCTCCTGTGGAAAAGCTGGTAGTTTCGAACTGCTGACCCTAAGGTTCACAGCCCATTTCATAACCACTACGCTACCAGAGCTCAGATAGGTAGATAAATGGGAGGCATCAAAACACTAGTATGGAATGCTCACCATGGAATGGTCCATCACTCAAGATCAAAAAGGTAACATTTACCTAATAACAAATTTGAGAAGAGTTGAGGGAAGGTGGCTGGAATGGAAATAAGAACCACAGGGAGGAAGGGGATACCTGTTGTTTCATGGAGGGGATTGCAATCATTGAGATGAAACAAAGCATATGATTTGGTGAATGTAAAATTGATGATTTGTTCTGTTAACCTTCTCAATTCTTAAATAAACAGATTTAAAAAGAGATGATTTTGCCATTCACCTAGTTTTCATTAATTGAATTTAAGATTTAAACACTTTATAGGTAACATTACCACCAAATGAATTACTTGTTCATTTTACTGTATGCATCTGCTCCATAAACAAGTCCTATTTGTGTAGTGTTGTGTAACTATATGTCTGTATGCATGTGCTGTTTTGGTTTCTTTGTCTTTCTGGCTGACCCACTACCTTTGAATGACACCATCTGGGGACATACGGTCACTCCACTGAAAGGAAGCCGTTCTCGATGCCAGTGTCTGGATTTGTGGAGAGGACAGTCTTGCGGGTGGAGCAGGGTGAGTCCTCAGTTCAGCTGGTGGACCTTTGCTGCAACAGTTGAAGCAAGTACAGGCCTCTACCCCAATGGAGTATGGCGTGAGGGGCTGTAGTTGTTCAGGGTCTGCTGGGTGAATGGGCCTTCGGACAGTTGTACGAGAAGAAAGAAGACCAGATGAGGCACAGAATCAAACAAAATGAGTAACTATTTATCAAGTAAACCACCTACTATGAGTAGAGTGCCACGCTAGGTACTCTGAGAGATGCAACACTGCATTTAGCATAATGTATACCGTTAGGAATTATCAATCCTGTTAGAAAGACAGTAAACACATGTTACCTTGGGTGATTGGAAGGTAAGATACAAGAGGGATGCTGGCAGAGGAAGGATGAAGGTAGCAGAGGACACAGGGAGGAATGCAATAGTTAAAGTCAACAGAGGCAAAGAGCGTTAACTAATGGCACATGGAGGGGATTGCAATCATTGTAATGAAGCAAAATATTTGGTTTGTTGAACGTGGGACTTACGTTCTGTAAGCCTTCACTCAATTCACAATATAAAGATAAAAAAAAATAAAGTAAAAGCTAAATAGAAGTTAAAATTAACAGGAAAGTAGTCACAAGGCACAATATAAGCACTTGTCTGTTAACATAAAAATATAGTAGAAAATGGCATGATACTTACAGTAATGACCAAATTTGATGACTCTCAGAATGTTGCCTTCTTTTAAAAAGTTTATAATTGAATTCTAGTCAATAGTTACCAAGATCCATAGCCTGCCACTGGTTACCTGTGTGTAATATCTGGGTCAAAATTATCCCTTCGGTTCCATGTTAGAATTAGGTACAGATACTTAAGAGCTTGAAATTCCATCTATTCCTCTGAAGGTCTTGCTTATACTAAATGTTATAGCCTTCTTTCAACCATCTTCTTTTTTTGACCTCATTGTGGTTTTAGTAAGTACTCTCTAGAACAAAAGCATTCAGAAATTAGAAATGAACTTTCACACTGACAGAAGTGATATATAATTAAGAAGAGCTCTGCAGAATAAGCATTGGTCTGTGAACCCCAAGGTTGGCGTTTTACGTCCACCAGCTGCTCTTCCAATGAAAGGTGAGACTTTTCTACTCCTGAAAAGATAAACAGTCTCAGAAACCCTATACAGTCTTGGAACCGACTCAAAGACACTTAACAACAACAATAACATCTGTTGATTTAGTGTGATGCTGTAGGATAAGCACTGGACTGGTAATCACAAGGTCCCCAGTTTGAACCTATCAACTGCTCTTGTAACCCTATACAACCCTATACAATGAGTTGGAACTGAATCAATGGCACACAACTACAACACATCTATTGTGAGTGTGTGTGTATATGTTATTGTTGTTTAGTGCAGTCAAGTCGGTCCCCACCCATAGCGATCCAGTGTAGGGTTTCCAAGCAGCGGCTGGTGAGTTTGAAGTACTGATCGTGTGATTCAAACAGACTTTGCAGTCCAGCACATTAACCCACAGCTCCACACCAGGCGTCCTCCATATAATATATAAACATATATTAGTTTATTAATATTATCATTTTGTAAGCATAGATAATCAAGAGTTGATTATATTTACATCGTCTATATTTATTGAATACAAAGCCCTGTAAAATATATGCTAATATTCCTTTATCATTCAATATAAGTGAGTTACCTTTTGAAATTATAATTCAATATTTGGCACTCTGGTCTCAGAGGATTTCTCTGCACTTGCCCAAATGGTCCCCTGAATTAGTCTAAATAATTTGTAATTCCTGGATCTTCGCAATGTCTCTATAAGGTTTGTGTGAACATAGCATTCTAACCTCCACTTATTCATGAGAAAGGTGACAGGGACGAAGCTGTGCCACTGAGACAAGCCACTTCATCCCACTAAGTCGTCTCATTTCACGATGCAAGAACTGCTTCTAGCTGAGCCTTAGTATCCTTTGCAGCAAGTGGGTTGGTTAAAACACAAGGAGAGATGATTTCCCTGAAAAATTTGTTGTCTGTCCCTTCTGAGTCCCAAACATATTCATAAGCCAACAATGAAATTGGAGCTATGCCGAATGAGCTGTTATGCTGTTTCTTCCAAAGGACTAGAATTTTCAAGAATTTATCAAAGGAAACTATGGAAGTTTTCAATGTATTAGCAGAGAATTTTGCCTGCCAAAATGGGGATTCTGAGGATATCTGCTCTGTTCTTTTTCCATATAACATTTACACTACCACCAATGACCTAGTATAGACTCCTTATCATGTTCCACAATTATGCAAGTGCCTGATACACTGGTTGTTGTTAAGTGCTGTCGAGTTGCTTCCAACTCATAGCAACCCTGTATAGGGTTTCCGAAGCTTTAAGTCTTCAACGGAGCAGAAAACCTCATCTTTGTTCTGAGGAGCAGATGGTGGGCTTGAACCACGGACGGACCTTGTGGCTCACAGTTCAGTGCTTATCATGTGAACATATAAATTACATTTAAATTAAATTTGGGTGCGGTGCTGTGGGTTAATGGGCTTAGCTGCAGTCAGTTGGTTTGAATTGCAAGATGGGTGGTTCAAGCTCACCAGTAGCTTCTCGGAACCTCTATACAAGGTTGCTATGTTTCAGAACCTACTCGACAGCACTTAACAACACAATATTGATTTCTTATATTTGTGAAATATTTACATTTCCTGAGCTTTTAATACTACTTTTAGCATTTCTCTCCGTTTACATACTTCCTGTTTATAAGTTTTCCTAAGAGCACACTTTTTCTTCCCAGAGTCATTCTTGTGTTACTTAGTCCACCAGAGGGCATTTGAAAACAGAACAATATGATACATCAAAGAGAAGGAAACACAAGGGGACTGTGGTAATGATTTTTAAAAATGAAACAACTCTGGGTGTTTAGTTCAGAAAGTTTGCAGCTCATCACCGTCTCTGTTCCACTGGTATTGTTGGAGAACAGCCTACAGAGACTGACAATCCCGTTTCACAGGGGCGTTGATGTTGGCCACTGCTTGGGTAGATGAGACCTTGTGGAATTTGGGGGTTTGGAGACCTTCTGGGGGTGCAGGCCCAATTCTATACCATGTCCAATTACTGGGTGCTTTTCCTGCTGAATTTACTGCCCAGACCTTGAAAGAGAAATTAACATGATCCAAGTCAAAAGTAAGACACCCTTTCAGGATGAAAAAAAAAGAGAGTAAAAGACTGACAATAAAAAGCAAGTAAACACAACAGAAGGAGATGCACTTTGATCTTGTAGCTTTGTAAGAACAAAGAAGAGAAGGCTCTTCCTCTCTTTTTTTTTTTTTTTTTCCTTCTTCTTCTTGCCTTTGACCATATGAATACAAAGGAGTCAGTTGAGGAGCCCTGGTTTCAGAATTCAGCAGGCTGATAGAGCCTAATTAAAAACTGCTCATCTCTGGTGGGAAGTGGAGTGAACCTGTCAGCTTCTCCAAACTGGATGGAACTGCAGACTACGTAAAACTCAGCAATTATTAAGCACGGTCCAGACCAAATCTGCATGAAAATTAAATTTTCCTTTCATCAAGGAGGGAATAAACATATGGAAGGATATATAATCTTATTTATCAAGCACCATTTGTATAATTAAACACGAATATCCTAAAAGGTTATCTCAGGTCATCATTTGCATGAGTAAGTAATTTGTAGAATGTCAGGTACAATAGACAGAGTAGATGGATGTGTGAGTGTATAGGGTTAAATTAGACCCAATAATAGCCAACTACACAGTGATCCATCAGAATGATAGATCTAAATGGCAATACAAGAAGACTTTCTGAGTGTTTAGGAAGCCCTGGTGGTGCTGCAGGATAAGCACTAGACTACTAACCAAGGTCAGCTGTTCAAACCCACCAGTGGCTCTGAGGGAGAAGGATAAGGCTTTTGGCTCCTTGGAAACCCTATGTAGGGTGCCTCTGAATTGGAATGGACTCAGTGACAATGAGTTTGGCTTTTTTGGTTGGGTGGTATAGTGACTAAGTGCTTGGCTGCTAACAGAAAGGTGGCATTTGGAATCTAATAGCTGCTCTCAGGAGAAAGATGTGGCAGTGTGCTTTCAGACAGATTATAGCCTAGGAAACCCTTTGGGGCAGTTCTACTGTGTTATGGGGTCGCTGTAAGTCAGAATTAATATAATGGCAATTGGGTTGGGTCTGCCTGTTTAGGAGTGGGTACAAATCTAATTTCAGGATATTTTTCTCATTTAGCATCTTCTATAATATCTTTCTTTTTTAAATTTGCACTGAGCTTTTAAAGACAAGACTGAAAATCTTGTTGGATTCTTTAGTACCCATGTTCCAGATGTGCTGAGTGTTAAAAAGTCATGCAGAACATTCAAAATAAGTGATACTTAGGAGGGAAACTGTCAGAGAATGCTTTGCAGTGAGAGTTTAGTTTTGGCTTTGTTTGTTTTGCTTTTGCATTACTCATACCTTCAAGAGCAAAAACATAGGAGAGACTGTTCGTAGTTAGGCTAACACCTGTCAGTGTTTCCGACAGTTTTGGTGGATTCCTTTGTAAAAGTAAAATTTCTGATGCTGAACTACCCTCAGACTGTTGTCCAATGCAAATTACCAGCCCCTTACTAATAGACTAATAGGATCGGCAGAAGCCCCATCTTAAAGAGACAACAAACCTTCTTACATAGCAGAACCTGCTTTGTAAAAAGAGTTTAGATACATTTCTCAATCATTTGCATAACTCAAATCATTTGTATAAACTCTATGGATTACAAAACTCTGTTAACATATGTTAGCTTCCTTGGTCATCCAAAGGAGTCTTGGTCACTGCGGGATAAAGCAGTAGACTGCAAGTTCATTTTGAACCATGAGGTGGGCGTTTCTAACTCATCATTTGCTCCGTGGAAATCCTATACATGTACACTATAAGTTGGAACTGACTCAATAGCACTTACCAACAACAATAAGAGCTTTCTTGCACATCTTGACCCGGTCTTGTAAGGTACAGGGAGAATGTATTACTATTCCCCTTTTATACTACAGGAAATTGAGGCACCAAAAATTGCTCTATCTTTTCCAAACAGGTAGAAGTTCCAAGAGTGAACTAGAATTCTGTTTTCCAGGGCTTTCCCCCAACAAACTGTTCTTTGGTTCTATATGTCAACCATAAGCAGAAATGAAATACTCAGGATCATGAAAATTAAATAACTTGTCATAAGCAAATATCTGTATTTCTAGATTAGGTAATGTCTCTTATTTAGGAAGAATGGATAGACATGCTCAGTTTGTCTCAGGGGATGGAGAGGCTTATTTTAAGGATATAGCACTTAACAACAATAGTAAGTAGGAATTGAATAGTAGTGGATTCAGTTTTGGATTTTAGAGGACTAGGTAGATATCAAAAACCAAAATCAAACACACTACCATCAAGTCATGAAACCAACTCAATGACACTTAACAACAACAAAAATTGATGTCAAGTCGATTTTGACCATGATGTGCCAAGAGTAGACCTGCTATGTAGGTTATAATCTGTCTGAGGGGTACTGGTATGGCACTGTAGGATAAGCACTGGATTGTAAATTCGGTTTGAACTGCAAAGTCCGTGGTTGAAATTTGGCAGCTGCTCCTCAGAAACCCTATACAGGATCACTATGAGTCAGAAATGACTCAATGGCACTTCACAACAACAATAACAACCTTTCTGAGGAGTCCTGGTATGGCGCTGCAGGATAAGCACTAGACCACAAGGTGGGTTTGAAGCATAAAGTATGTGGTTGAAACTCACCAACCATTCCTCAGAAATCCTATATAGGGTGGCTATGGGTGGGAACCAGCTTGATGGCACTTAACAAAAACTTTTTGAAGCAGATGGCTAGAATTTTCTTCTGAGGCATCTCTGGTGGGGTTTGAACCACCAGGTTTTCAGTTAATAGCCAAGCCTGCCACTCAGGGACTCCATTTTTTTTTTTTTGAGGTATGAACACATTGACTTCATTCTATAAGCAATGGGGATTCCATGCAGGTTTTCAAAATAACACCGCCCCCCAACCTTTTAAAATGTGTGCATTATAGAAAACTGAAAAGTCAAAGAGCAAAAAGCAAAGAATACAAAAGACATCAAAAATTAATTTGATGATTTGATGACAAGTTTGACATCCTATGTGTGTATACACATAGCTGCTGGGGTCTCCATTTGAAAGATAGAATCAGAGAAGAGAAAATCGTCTTAGCAAATAGGTTTCATGAGAACCAGAATTGGGTCTCACTACAACTACAGTTCACCTTGAAAATAACTGAGGCCCATCTTACAACAAGGAGGGTAGGCACAGAAGCTTGTTGATGAAGAGGTCAGGTTTCAAGGTTGGTGAAGAAAGGACCCTGGCTCCTCACTCTATCACAGGCCATCCTCTTTAACTTTTCTTTACTTTTTGACTTGGATGGGAACATAAATACTATGAAAACATTTGAATGCTTTAAATCCTCATCATGGGAGCAATGAAAAAACATCATGATAAACTTAGAAAAAACTGAAGTTGTCAAAGACTTCCTTTTGCTCAGATCAACCATCAACATTCACGGAAGCAGCAGTCAAGAAGTCAAATGATGGATTGCATTAGGCAAATCTGCTGCATAAGACCCTTTTAAAGTGTTCAAGAGCAAAGAGGTCAGTTTGAGGACTAAAGTGAGCCTGATCCAACCCAGGGTATTTTCAATTGCCTCATGTGCATGTAAAGGTTGGACAATGAATAAAAAAGACTGTAGAAGAATTGCCATATTTGAGAAGAATATTAAAGGCGCCCATCTGCCAGAAGAACAAACAAATCTGTGTTGGAAGATGCACAGTCAGATGCTCCTGAGAAGCCAAAATGGCTTTTGATATCTTACATGTTTTCATGTTTACAACAGAAACCTTTAAGGAAAAAAGCACTCTAACTCAGTCAGTCCTAACTTATTTCCATTTTTGACATTCCTTTCATTGGGCTAACTCTTACAGCCATGTGGGGCAAGGGGTACATGCCTGCTCAGCCTACCCAAATAATTAATGTTGACGTGGAAATGTTATTCACTTTTATATTTTTATTATAAAAGATTAAATACATTCAGTCTGGATCCTAATGGTATAAGGTTACCTGAAGTCCTGGTGCGGCATTGTGGGTTAATGCGTCAGACTGTAAAGTCGTTTGAACTGCAAGGTTGGTGGTTCAAGCTCACTAGCTGCTCCTTGGAAACCTTATACAGGGTTGCTATGGGTCAAAATTGACTAGACAGCACTTACAGCAACAACAAATACACCAAAGAGGAAGCCTATCCTTAATCTTATCATTATGAACTCCTGGAGTTCATAAGCCTTACTTACTTTTATCCCCAAGACTGACCTTTCTCTTCTTTGCACAGCCCACACACTTGGTTTAGGTAACCAATGATAAAGTAAGAGAACCTTAAGATACAAACCAGACAGATTGGTTTCTAGCTAGGCAAGAGGTAAGTAGTAGGTAGATCAATAGATAGGGAGACCAACAGATGAAAATGAGATAGAGTCTAAGTAGATAACTTTAAGTGTGTTCACAAGATATTTCATTTCTTGATTTGTGTATTATCTCATTCAAAGTTAAAAATCAGAATACACTGCTCACAATTTCCTACTCAATATCTCAGCTTCTTCTTCCTCCTCCCTATAAGGATATACTTAAATCTAGGGATCATTGTTCTAGGTAGAAGTCATAAGCATAATGCGCCTTAGTTTGTTTTAGGGAACCGGACTGCCACATTCTGAGTGATATTTTGTATAAAAGACTTGTTTTGCTGATGGAGAAAGAGAGAAATAATCAATCACTGATGGATGGTCTTTACTTTTCTTCAGGTAGTTTTGGAGTAGCAAAGACACTGCCTTGCAATACAAGTTTTGTGAAATTCATAATGCTTCATTATTTCAGTCAGCTTTCTCTTTACTGTAACTGCTTTCATTTTCAGAGTAGCTCATGTAAATAGACTAACCCTGCTTTGCATAAGCATGTTGATTTATATGAATGCTATTTTGATCTCAAATTGATTGAAGATGAAAAAGAAAGACTAAGAGAAATAGTAATGTATTATGAAGGTCTCCTATCAAAGACAAGGAGCCCTGATACCATAGTGTGTTATGAGTT